GTAAAGAAACACTTTGGGGGAGATTTTCGAAAACTGGAGCGTGCAAAATCTGATACAGCTCTGCATAGAAACCAGCTTCCAGGTTTTATTGTTAACCCCTTGGCGCCGGCGCCTCCCGGCCCTTTAAGGGTTTCAGAAGCTGGGAGGGGTTTTAAGGTCATGTGACTGCCGTGATTTGCAGTCACATGATCGGGAAAGGTCCTGATCGAAAGAGGAGATCGGGACCTTTCCGTGAGTACCGGACATGTATGCTGTGAGCACGCTCTCAGCACATATGTTTTTTTGTTAATTGCACGCAAATGTGCGGCCGCTTGGCGTCAAGGCCCAGACGTCAGGAGGCAGCACATTTGAGTGCGGCCGGCGTGAAGAGGTTAAAGTTCACCTTTTGTAACATGTTACACTCATATTTAGGGTGTAACATGTTACACATGCACCAGCCATGAACCCCACATATCTCCATTTTTACAGCTACCGGGGATCTTCTCCACCCGCTGGCTGTCACACTCTAAAAAAAACAACAAAAAAAAACGTTTTTCATTCACAGTATAGTTGAGCGCTCTAGTTAGTTCATTGAGCTTCTTGTCATTGTGTACCTGTCAGCCCATATTGGAGATACAGGCAGACAGCCACACAGACAGTCTTCAGGGCCGTGGCTTCACACCTATGATCTGCTGATAGTGGGTGCAATGCTTTACAGGATCCCAACTAAAAAAAAAAAATGCCTATTTTTTTTTACTTGCACAAAAAGGGCATTTATTATTTTTTTTGTAAAGGTGAACTTATCCTTTAAAGCTTAACTGAACAAGCTGAAGTGCTCCAGTTTTAGTAAATTCCCCCTCATTGAAAGGAAAAGGTATAGCAGCATTTAACTTTTTAAGGTGGTTTGTAATAAGAAGATACCTCTCCCGGGAGCACAGCCACTACATGTTCTGTATCTGTGGAAATTCCGGTCAGCCCCTACCTACAAATCTCACCAGAGCTCCTTATTGCACAGTGAGAGGACATGAGCCGTCCCAAGCATGCAGGAGATTTGCAGTGCTGCTTTAACTGTGTTAGCATGAAAATACCAGAGAAAGGCCGGCTCGTATTGTAGTTTTAAACATGGGCTGCATAGGGGACACAGTGGACTCTCAGCACTGGAGAGCGTGTATATGTGCACAGAGATTAGAGTTCAATCAGATGGCTGCTACCTTTACTACAGAAGCTGCATCTAACCCGACCTGTGTGCAGGCAGCCTATAGTGGTTCATGGAGATGCAGCAGCTGCACAGACACAGTCACATGTCAACACATGATCAGTGTGAAGGAGCGGCTGCACAGCTCCAAACACACAATGTTGGGACCGTGCAATCACTCCTGCAGGGCTGTCAAATTTTGACATGCGGCCAATGCACCTGCATCCACCTCTATAGCCTGCCTGCACACAGCCCAGAGCGGATGTAGGCGCAGTAACAAAGCATGTGCGCAGGACAGGTGCCAGCACCTGTCTGAACGACCCCTAGAGAGCACCAAAACCAACTGCTAGAAATGTGCAAAATCTATTTAAAGTAGTACTTCCAGGGACACTGAACTATTTATACACCCTTAACAAGCAGAAAATAAAATACAAAGCCCAACTGAACTTTCAGTTTCAACCAGTTACAAACATTCCAGGCTCATCACAAAAAAAAAGTCCTAACACTTTGTTTTCTTCAGAAAGCAGCCGCAATGTCAGCAGAAAAGCAAATTCCCTGCTAGCATGCTACAGAGAAGGACCCTTGCTCTCTTCAGAGGTCTGATGTGTACTTTGGTGCATCAGAGCAGTCACTGCGCCCACCCAGAGAGACCACTGCCCCCACCCAGAGAGACCACTGCCCCCATCCAGAGAGACCACTGCCCCCACCCAGAGAGACCACTGCCCCCACCCAGAGAGACCACTGCCCCCACCCAGAGAGACCACTGCGCCCACCCAGAGAGACCACTGCGCCCACCCAGAGAGACCACTGCGCCCACCCAGAGAGACCACTGCGCCCACCCAGAGAGACCACTGCGCCCACCCAGAGAGACCACTGCGCCCACCCAGAGAGACCACTGCGCCCACCCAGAGAGCAAGGCTCCTTCTCTGCAGCATGCTGGCGGGAAACAGGTTTTTTTACTCTGGTTGTGACTAATTTTTTAAAGAAAACAGACGCCTTTTATTTTGATGCACTTAGACTGTATTTAGCAAATTGAATGGAAAGCTCATTTGGACTTAAGGGCTGTTTCACATATAGTGCCGTGAGAGGCGTTTTACTGCATAATAAAATGCCTGTCACTGCAAGGACACACAGAAAACAATTGTTTCCTGTGTGTCCCATTCGCATTGCAATGCAGCCCAGTGCTGCGCTGCAGTGTGCTGTGATAAAATACAGAAATGCTGCCTTTTATCACTGTACAGAATCGCATGGCGCTGCTGTACAGTGCCACGAATGAAGTGTGTTTTGTACACTTCAAATAAAGTTTGCCAGAAAAAAAAAAAAAAAAAAAAAAAGAGCTGTGTGATGCATTGTGATGCATTGAATTGTGCACTACACTGCCCCCCCAATGCAGCCAGGATTGGACAGCTGCCAGACAGGTAAATCGCTGTGGCAGCTGTCTGTTCCTGTGTGAACCCAGCCTAGAACAAGCTGTCATGGACCTCTTTAGCGCCAACAGTACAGTTGTTTTACCCTCTTGATGCTGGCTGCACACATATGCGGCAATGTTAAAACAACTTACTGTACTGAGAGCGCACTCCATGCACAATAGCTGGCGGTAATCCATAAGCTCCCAATGCATACTTGTGATCAGGAGCTTTCCAGTTATGTGACCGCTGTGACAGTCAATCACAGCGGTCACATGACCCGAAGGCACGACTCCGCCTCCCAGCTTTTAGACCCCTTAAAGGGCCGGGAGGCAGTCAGCACAAAACGATTAAAGAATATTTACTGTTTGCTAAGAACATGTAAATATTTGCATGTCCAGAGCCTTCCCACACTTTTACTTTAAGGCGTCATGCACAGGGGTGCATTCACCCATACAGCATTAAAACTAGGCATATTTCGGCACTATGGAGCATATAGTCTGCTGGCAGCAGCCTGTCAAAATCAATGTCAGGCTGAAATATACTTCAGTTGTACACATCTGAGCAGGCACCTATGCAAAACGGGGACTTTCTATATTCGGAGCATACGTCCCTGAACCGGTGTGTGCAAAGGAAGCAAATTTCAGCCAGTCGTTGATTCTGACAGGCAGCTGGTTGCTCCTGCGCTTGGGGATGGACTCATTGTAGGCTAGGACCACATCACGAATGTCCTGGAATATGCACACCTTGCTGCCCTCAAAAGACCGGAGAAATCCAAATATACTGAACAGAGAAAGAACAAACAGAGGGCGCACCGGCCTAGTGCATTACCTTAAAAAATGTTTAATAAGAAATAAAAATAGGTATTGTACTCACAGACGACAGTAAAGTCAAAGGCACATCATGAAAGAACAGCTTGGTCAAAACCGCACTATGTGACTGTCCGCATTGGAGAGTGTAGACATCCAATAGGCTAACGCGTTTCATGGCTCTGAGGAAGAGGCAGGTCCTCGAAACGCGTTAGCCTATTGGATGGCTACACTCCCCATTGCGGACTGTCACGTAGCGCGGTTTTGACCAAGCTGTTCTTTCACGATGTGCCTTTGACTTTATGTCGTTTGTGAGTACAATACCTATTTTTATCTTTTATTAAACATGTTTTATGGTAATGCACTAGGCCGGAGCGCCCTCTCTTTGTTCTTTCTCCATTCAGTATATTTGGATCTCCCCGGTTGTATGCACCTCCAGGTGCTGAAATATACCTGTACAGGCAAACGTGCCAGTGTGCATGAGGCCGTCCTGGCACTCCGTAGCCAGACATATCTCCTTCCTTTCAAAGTGTTACTTTGTCTTTTAATACTACAGATAAAATGAAAAAATAAAAAGTGATGTCACCAATTCCTGTTCAAACAACGGATTGCAGTCTTTGACATTAAAAAAATGGCTTCCTCTGCAGTCTGAGGTGACGCAGTACAGCATTTCGCTGACAAAATGTATTTACAATTTTGACGTTTCTCCCAACTCGAAAAAACCTTCAATTTAATTGTACAAGATTAAAAACTGTAATGTCTATATTACAGCAAGAATGACAGGCTCCCTTTTCTTCCAAATTCCCACAACTGATACATAAAGTGAACATGCAAAATGTCTTAACACCAAGGGGCGGAAGGACAGAGACATCGGTTCCAGCGTCCAAACTAAGGACATGGGAAGGAACCACACTTCTGGGGAAGGGGGTGGGGGAGGGGGAGATAGTCAGTTCAGATTTTGCTTCCCAGATAAGACAAGACAGCAGCTGTAAGTAAACAAAAAGAATTCCCTAGCAAGTGATATTTTCACCCCCTTTCCTCGCAGAAACAAGGGCAATATGATTCCTTCGATGAAGCACAGTGCTAATAAAACCTCCTCCTCCGTCACCCGCCCTAATGGTTGTAATACTAATTCACAGCAATGCCCGGGGAAGGGGGCACCCAACAGAACAGTCCACATATGACACCTGTGCAGGCTCAATCCTTGATGCATGATCTGGTTTCCTTGGTAACATAAGCCACTCCCGCCGCTATCCTTATTTTTTTTTTTTTTTTTTTTTTGACAATGCTTTTTAGTATTTCTTTAAAAAAAAAAAATGTACAAGTCCATTTTCAAGAAAGCAAAGTGTCTTGCTTTGAGTTATGGTACAAATGGAAGGACAGGGATAACATGGGAAAAACATGGAGCAGAGGAAGGCCGTGAGGATTGGACCGGTGCAAATGTCTGGTAATGGGTTCAGCAGAAAGGGGAGGGGCACAGACACCTTTGCGTCATTTGGTATTCCTGTTGCTGTCAGTTTTGGAGAGAGAGGGGGGGGACAGGGAAGGGGAGAGAAGAGGGGTTAGGCGGGGCAGGAGCAGCCGAGGTTGCAGGGGAGGAGTGAGCAGTTTTTAGCTCCCATAATGCATTGTGTTGGTGTTGATAGACATGGGAGAAGCCATAGAGATGGCTGGACCACCCATAGTGAACTGGTTGTTGACTGGGTAGTGGCTGGTAACATTGGAACCAGCTTGTCCTGAGGCCGATCCTAGAAGAGAGAAGAGACGAGGAGTTTTTACAATGACTTTTGGAAGGGTTCAACGGCATAGCAGTGCCTAGAGCCAACGCTAAAAGATTGCTGCAGAGACTCACCTTGGACGATGCCTGTACTCATGATGGATCCCATCCTGGAGTGGGTGTGATTAACAATTCCTGTGTTAGCTGAAAGGAAACGGGGGGAGGAGGTGGGAGTGGAAACGGGTGAAGTTAAAGGAAACATCGCCTACACACAATTCTTGGTAGTATTCTAGTATAAGTGAGGGGAATTAGTAAAAAAACAAAATTACAGTTAAAACAAAACAAAAAATGGTGGGTGTTGCCCACAACAGCCAGAATTTACTTGCTATGCACCCACACGAATGTCAGATTGAGACCAGCGGCTGTGTCCAGGGGCAGACTGACAATTTATGGGGCCCCCGGGCAATAGGGGATCATGGGGACCGTGTCCTTGCCCAAACTCAAAAAAGCCTATGAAAAAGGTACCGGGGGCATCTCATGGGGCCCCCTACTGACCACGGGCCCTCAGGCAGTGCCCAAGTTTCCAAATGGTCAGTCCGCCCCTGGCTGTGTCCATGCAGTCACTGCATCCCAACAGACATGGATACGACTGCCTGCACATGGATGTGCGGAATATCTGCATTCCATGTTAAAGACAGACCTTCACGTAGATGTACACCTATGTGAACGACGCCTTCAGGAATCAGCTAAACAACCTGTCATGAACCTAAGAACCATATACTACTGGAAAGGATAAAAAAAACACACACTGGGCCTCATGCATAAAGTGTCTTTGCAGTTCAGCGTTTTTAGGGTAACTTGTTTTGAATTTTTTTTTTCTCAAAGTTTTTTTTTTTTTTTGTTGTATAGCAAATATTTCCTAGATTTGCACCATTTATGAGATCTTCACATCGGCCCCTGCTGTTTGTTATTTTGCATGTGCAGTGCGCTCTGAATTCAGGGTACATCAATACAGAGAGCGATCATAACATGCGTGCGGAAGTGAAGTCACCATGGCCCAACCATTCAAACGACCAGTGAGTGCAAAACCGGAAGGAAGACCAGGTGAAGATGGAAGCAGTGCCCTGCTGAAGGGCTCCCTTTAGGAGGCAAGTCTGTCGTAATGTGCCAGTATGCACTGCTTAGTAGCATATTATAGCATTAACCTGCAGGGGAACATATTTATTTTTAAACGGAGATTACTACTGCTTTAAGCCCTGTGCAGAACTGGATGTGAACTAGGCCGTGGGATACACAAAAAAGCCTGTGGCCCAACAGCGTTTGCCTAAAGAGGAAATAGTTATAAACAAGCATAAAAACGTTTGTTTGCCATTTTGGATACCATTGTGACGGAAGTCACTTTGGGTGAGGGGCCCATGGAACACAGCTCACTTTGGAGAGGTGGGGAGACGCCTGTCTCAGCTCCCCTCATGTGTAAGTCACCCTGTGCCTGTTAGGGGTACAGGGTGACCTGTCCTAATATTGGAGTGGGGGGGCTGGTGATTGTTTTATGCCATGTGGTTGCATCCCATTGTGTGTCTTGCTTTGGAGCAAACTATTATGGGATTTATGTGTGTGTGTATTGGCTTAGTGGGGGGGGGGGGGGGGGTTTCCTGTAGCCCTCCCCCCTGATGGGACTGTCCGCTGGTGTCCGCTGTTGTGTCTCTTGTTACTGGGTGTGGATTGCCCCTCCCTGGGTTATTATGCAGGGAGGGGGGATTGCTCCATTGAATGTATATGTTTTCTATCTGTGTTAAAATAAAGAAGTCTATTTCCTGGTTTTACTTCAAGAGTGGTGTCTGTGGTCGGTGTTCGGACGGGGAAGCAGTATCCAAACGGAAATACCCAAGTGCAGTCGGGGTCCGGTTCCGTTAAAACCATGAAGAAGCGTTAGAACCTCTGCCAGATTTCAATTTCATTTGTGTATCTGTGTATCAGATTTTTTCTTGTCAGATGATAAATATCTTATGTGCCTATGGAGAATTATTTTCTTCCTGTTACAACACCTGTCACCAGAAGAAGGCGCAAGAAATCTCCCTTATTTAGACACAAAAAAAACAGTAAAATTCTGAACACAGGTTTCAATTTTCCTACTCTAGCCTTCTGTAAGTTCACTTGCCAATTTGAAAGCTGTTCTCCAAGACACTTTGATGAATAAGGCTCAATACTGGTGTTAGAGAACATCCCATCCCTTCCCCTCCAAAGGTTCCGGAAGTAAAACCAACAGGTGACTATACTACCCTACTCTATACGCTTGAAGTTGGAAGAACTCTGGCATAATATATGTCCCCCTACAATATTTAAGTATTAGTGTCATGTATTGGTTAAATGAGTCAGTAGACACAGGGATTAGTTGTAAGGGAAGGGATTCTTTGAATGGTTAATGAATGCCTAGTGGTAAGTCGGTATTAAGTGGAGGTTGCCATAATTACTGTAGTCTTTTAATTCATTTCTCTGAAAGTTCTAAAGCTGGTTGATCATACACCGCTGGAATTTCAACCGATTCCTGCTGAACTGGCAAAATTCACTCTGCAGATGGATCTGTTGGTACCACCCGACTCTACAAAACGTAACTAAAAAATTTAAGGAGCTGGGTTGAAAATTTTCATCTGCATGTTGTCTGTATCCTATCAGATGCAATCACTGTTTAGGTATTCAAGCAGCTGAGGGTGGCTGTGGTTGCTTGAATACAAATGCCAACAGTGCAGATTTCTCCTTTAGCACAGATTGAGGAATCTATAAATTTTCTCTAGTTCAGCCTGCAAATCTAAAAGACCAGCTTATAAATCCAGCTACATTCTTTCCTGCACACTATGCAACAATGATACACACAAGGTGGGGGTGGGAAGTTGGAGTTGACCGACAAGAAATTCGGCTGCCTACAGCTGGAAAGCTGGATTGGTGGCTCCTGAGTCTTGGTTCCCACTAGTGCGGTTCTGCAGGCCGCAGCCACTCATTTAAATGGGCTGCTGTGCCTCGCAAACCGCAGGGAAAAAGTCCCTGTACCTTTCCAGAAATTGCAGCCCGCACTGGGAACCGCACTACAGTGCGGTTGCATTTTCCAGTGCGTGCCATTAAGATTAATGGGGCCCAGAGTGTTGTTTGGGGGTGGTTGCAGCTGTGGGATGAAGTGTGGGTCCCGCAGAGGTGGTTGCAGTTGTGGGATGAAGTGTGGTGTCCCACAGAGGCTTCCATCCACACTAGTGTGAACTGAGGCTGAAGGCTTGCATTTCAATGCGACTGAAATATTGCAAGTTTGCTACTCACAGAGACCAGATTTAGAATTTGGAAAATAAAAACCATGATTCTATGTAATAAATATAGACTAAAGCTGGCCATAGATTTTTTCATTTTCTTCGTTCAGCTAGCTTGTTGAATGGGGGGGGGGGGGGGGGGGGCAGAAGAGCAAATTGAAAGGATGGAGGAATCCCCCTGCCAGGACACTGTATTGTCAAAATTTACTGATCAGCAGCAGCAGCCACTGATTAGTAAAAAGTTCACCAGCTTGTCTAATAGACTTCTGATGAACAGGGATGGCTGAATTTCGTTGTTCATAACCAGCTGAAGGAAACCTGTTACTCGGTAAGCAAGACCAAGATCATTACTAGAAAAGGCTTTTCGATTCCTTAAAAGTAACAGCACGTTGTCTGTCATTAGGCAGGACTTACATTTTTTTTTTTTAAAGTTTAAAATAACTGACAGGTTTGCTCTACATACAGCAAAAAAACACAAATGTAGTCACTACAATGGATTTTATCTTAAAGTGACCGCCATTTAATATTCGCTTAACGGACAAGTTCACCTTTTGGGAAAGATAATAGATGCACATTTTTTCAGGAAAAAAGCTCCTCCTTTTCCCTAAAAAAAGCCTGGAAAGCACTGCACCCGTGATCAGTGGATCAGGGCTGCAATGCAAGACTCCTGCAGACAAGCCCAGCAGCTTTCAGCCCATACCTGCATACAGGCCAACTGTTTACATGCTGCAGGGCTTGTGAATGAACTACGAGGCCGAGCCATTCACAGGAAACTGTGAATGAATAATTCAGCCATGTTGCTGGAGCCCCACACAGTTGCGTTATTTGCAAATAGTGACAGCGGGCGTGGGGGAGAAGATCCAGCTCGCTGTCACTTGGGGGAAGGGGGGGGGAGGCTGCAGCTGCTGCAACATGTTACATATCCCACCCTAAATACGGGTGGGAACATGGAACATGTTCCAAAAGGTGAACATGTCCTTTAAAGTGTATGTTCACCACCTAACACGGTCCTCATCCCCATGCTTACCATGATACAGTTTCACCATGCATGCAGCCCAGTGCAGTCTTGTTTGAATAACGCTTTTCCCTTGGCTTTCCCTAGGGGCACTGGAATGGATCAGGAGCGATTTTGACCGGTCAGCGTGGTCAAGCGCCAGCGCTGACCAATCAGGACTAATCTGATCTGTCTCAGCATCCCTAAGGAAAGAGTAAGAGCAGCACAGGACTGCTGTACAGGGCTACGAGGGCAGTGAAACTTTCAGGAGGTGCAGCAGGTACAGGAGGTGGGGGGAGGGTGTAGGTTGTATGCCTTTTAATTTTTTCGTAAAAAAGGTGAACACACACTGTAAAGCAACTGTGTCACTCCTTATATTTATAGAACACATTAATAATTTTATTTATTTTTTTTTTTGTTTAAGCGACAGCCACTTTGATGGCTAATCCCATTCAGTGTTCTAGTTTTTAGCTACAGTGCACTGGAGGGCTGCTTCTCAGGCTGTCTTTTAAAATCTCTGAACTGCGAAAACAAGATCTCTGTACTGGAGTTTATAGACCCTTCCCCTGCCATGGTCATTTGTCTGTAAGGGAGCATGGTAATAAATGTTTGGTCTACAGTTAAAGCCACCCCATGCTTAGGCAACAATATTACAGGCACTGTGCAAACGTTGTACTCTTACTTTTAGCGGGTAAGAAGGCAAATCTTTAATTCCTTCTAAAGCTTTGAGCACCAGTGCTATTCAACACTTCTGGGTGTGCCTGATATGGTGTTCCCTCATTGAGCACCATGGTTCCTCCTGCCAGCTACTACATCACTACAAGAAATGGAAACCGGCAGAAGGAACCTTAGCAGCTTCAGGGAGCCACCCTGACACACCCAGAAATGTCGATAAGTGGAGGTTCCCGGTACTCATGAAGAAAAAGATTTTCTTTCCAAATTTCAGGCAGACAAGTATTTATCTGTGTCTTTTACAATGTGATCATGGTTTAGTTTTGCTGCAATAGAGGCAATAGGTTAAAGTAAATGTAAAGTTTTCTAAATGAACAGAACTGAAGTTTAAAGATCTTGTGGTGCTGGTAAATACCTGCAAGCCCATTCCTTATGGAGCCCTTTGATTATAGGCACAGGGTACATGGGGCTCAACTTAAAGCAGGACTAAACCTAACTTTTAGAAAACTGAGCAAGCAACTCTTTATTGCAAAAGAGACATGCTAAACACACACCTACCTGCCTGTTAGTAGTCTTTTATTGAATGTACACTGAGCTGCGCATGCGCAGCTCATCATACATTCCCAGCACACTCCGGCTGTGCCAGAATGACTGACTCCCATGCGCGTGATGTCACTCTCTACCCGCCAGTCAAGAGCCCAAAAGCCCAGTACCCAGAAGTAGCCCTGGGAGAAGAAGACAGAGGCCAGTGAGGGATGTAACCACTGCATCGCTGGAGGATGGAGGCAAGTATTTTCAGGAATTTAGTTCCATCTTAAGACCCAACTCCTGCCCTTCAACTGTTATTAAAGCATAAAATGCCATAGCATCTACTGACAACTTAAGTTCACAGTTGTGCAACTGGGACAGGGGCTCACTAGATTAAGTGCATAGATTTCCACCCAAAAGGGGGCTTTAAGCCTTTGTCCCTTGCTCCCTTATAAGGATTAGCACCCTTGGGGAGGGGGGGGAGCAGGTACCCAAATTTGACAGGTACCCGCTCCCACTTCCGCTGCGATGGCCTAAGGCAATCTGAAGCAGAAGCTGTCCTTCCCCCTCCCTCTCCGTAGTCTTCTGAGACACGTGACAGGTCCCAGAAGACTAGGGGACCATTCACAAAGCGCAGCGCTACTTGTACATGCGCAGTGGGCACCCGGCTGTGAAACTGCAAGCTGTCACAGCCGGATGCCCACAATGAAGACGCTGGCGCTGGGGAGAGAAGACGGGGCCGGTGAAAGCAGCGGTGGTGAGGACACCGCTGGACCAAGGGACAGGTAAGTGTCTGTATTTTAAAAGTCAGCAGCTACAGTTTTGTAACAACATAAAAAACAGGGCAGCACTGAAGATAGTAATAAAACAGAAATAAGTCCACTGCAAGTCCAGTTCATAGAAACATGTCAGGTGACAAGTGGAAATTCAATGTTGGTGATCCGTGAGGAAGTGGCTGAAATACGCACTCACCAGAAAGAAGAACTATATAAGCAGTATATATCAAAAGCCCATGGATCCTCAATCCAGAAGGAACAAAGCTGGTCTGGTCACAGAAAGTGGGTCCCTCCAAGGATGCAGCAAAAGATCTTCCTCCTCCCAGTTTGGTATTGGATTCCAAAGTCAGGGTTCTGCAAACAAAGTGCTCCTCAAAGGGAGTCAGGGAAGGACGCAGAGAACAGGGCACATGGGAAACATACACCAAGCGTGTGTGTATGGTGTATGTTTCCCATGTGCCCTGTTCCCTGTGTCCTTCCCTGACTCCCTTTGAGGAGCACTTTGTTTGCAGAACCCTGACTTTGGAATCCAATACCAAACTGGGAGGAGGAAGATCTTTTGCTGCATCCTTAAAGGAGGGACCCACTTTCTGTGACCAGACCAGCTTTGTTCCTTCTGGATTGAGGATCCATGGGCTTTTGATATATACTGCTTATATAGATCTTCTTTCTGGTGAGTGCGTATTTCAGCCACTTCCTCACGGATCACCAACATTGAATTTCCACTTGTCACCTGACATGTTTGTATGAACTGGACTTGCAGTGGACTTATTTCTGTTTTATTACTACTATCTCCAGCGCTGCACTGTTTTTTATGTTATTCTGTATAAGTATACATCGGTTGCTTAGAGTGCTTAGCTGCTGTTTAGGACCAGCACTCACTGTTCTTTCCTTTTAGACAGTTTTGTAATATCCATTTGGGCAGAGGTCCAGCCACAGTGTACAGCTGGATCCTATGGGAGGTATAGGGATCATACTGAATGGTACAGGTACATAGAGGCACCACAAGATCCCAGCACTTTAGAAATGCTGTTACCTTCGAAACGTCCTAGGCCACATAAGGGTTAAGTTTAACAGACTATTGACCACAGCAGGGGTTGAGAACACACAGATGTAGAAATCCAGTGAGCAGCAATCCTCTCTGAAGTAGAGTAGAAGTCATTTAGCTAACCACCTCAGCAATGTCCAAACATTTGTGAAGGTTAGTTTTTTTGGATGACCAATGCTTTAACTTGTAGATCTTGTTTAATGGATCAGGCTGAGATGCAACCATTTGGTGACAAGGTTAAAGACCCGACAATCTATTGAATGGTTAAATGTTTAGTCCCTTCTGTGGTAGTGAGGTTTAGTGACATACAATGAGAAGAGTGACAAGTGGCACATTTTATGCCCTAGCTAAAGCACAGTCATTTAAACGATGATCCACTTATCACTCTAGAAAATGTTTACACATGAAGATGCAGTGAAACAGTAATCAGGTTAATCTCTTACAAAAGGCATATTAGTGAAAACGCTGAAATGATTCAGAGATGGGAGTTAATGAACACCCTCTAGGGGGCGCAAACAGACACTTATCTAAATCCTATACCCATCCCCTTTTCTATAAGCATGTTAGCTTCATGATACACAGCTGGCTGACAAGCCTAAAGCAGTGTAAGGGCTGGGGGATGAGAGGGAAGAAGCATTTATGATAGAATGGAGATTATGGTATTACTGGAGGTTCCGTGTGTCAGGTCTTGGGGTCCTGGATGCAGAGACGCAGAACACGAGGCTGCAGACTGCTCACCTAGAGGGATGAGGTTACTGTGGCTGATGCCTGAGCTTCCAGCTATAACACTGCTGAGATCGTACGCCGTGGGCATACCTGGCAAACAAGACACAAACCGTAAGCACACATTTCTACCCAAAATAGATCAGTTTACAGAATCACACAACCTGATGAATAAGAGAAGACATCTTGTAATGTCTCCTATTAGGCAGGAGGCTTCATTTTAAATGTATAAAAACCACTACAGGTCTTGGACCAAACAATTCCAGGTGTCTGCCTTAAGTAATGTGCTCATTGCATTTAAAGCTGAAAACTCAGCTAAAAAAAACAAACACATCATTTGTAATCTTGGTGTTATAGGTTTCGCTTTTTTTGTTTTTTTTTTAAATCTTTTTGCAGTTTGCCTCTGTAGAGGAGCTTCCTGTAATGCAGATCAGCCACTGCTACTCTTTTCTTCTGCAGGAAGGATAATGAAGTATTCAGATTACATATCTGGCCAATCGCTGTGGAAGCGAAGCAGCACTGTTGTAACTATCCTGTCTTTGGGGTTGCCCTCAGCACAGGTGCCATTCATAAAACGTCTTGCATTTTTCTGAATACAAGGTGTTCTCTGATTGAATGAGATGGGGATTGGACAAAGTGGAATGGCGGTGCAGTAACGCACAGAGAATACTTGACAATATCTTGCTTTTTTCTCAATGAATGCCAAGAATGGCACCCGTGCAGAGAAGGTGACCCCCCCATGTTCACTATGCAACTGCTCAGCACAGCTACTAGCAGAGTTAAAGCCTGCTGTCAGCTCGTGTAGGGATCCCAACAATAATGTCTGGGTTCACCCAGATGCCTGACTGAAAGCTGGTCAGCCTCTCAGTGCACCGTTGAGCCTGAGCCAGTGGCTCCCACTCCCTCCATAGTCCGACACTCCAGTGAGTGGACCGGAGAGCTGAGCGATCAGCTGTTTTTGTTCACTCCGTTCTCAGTTTAGAGTTGGTGGGGGACAACTAATACAACTGAGTACGTTTTTTTTTTTTTATTTCAACACATACTAAAGCTTCTAAATTTGGTCTGGGAATCTAGGCTTTAATGACATCTTTTCAAGAAGGGGTTAAGGATCTAATTTGAATGACAGCTGGTATTATAAAAAGACCTGAAAAGTCCCTTATATAGCTCATTCATGCAAAGCAAACGCAAGCAGTTTGTTGGCTTCCAAGGACATTGAGACCACTTCTCCCCCACTCCAGTAATGCATAAGGTCCAGTCTGGTTCTGATTCCCCCTCACTCACCTCCCATGCCCATCCCTGTGTTCATGGTGTACGCCCCTGCTGTGTTCCACATGTTCTCAGAGGGAGAGGAGTAATGTGAAACCAGGAGGAGGGGACGGCGTTGAGCCAGTGTACCTGAAAGACAGACATGATGATCAGCCACTTGGCATAACTGACAAATTTTTAACACCGACATTTGCTTCTGCTGTATCCTGAGGGAACCCAAGCAAAACTGCTCTGATTTAAATCTTCATATGGCTAACATGGACAAAACTTGCAGACAAGAATTCTGCCTCCGTTCTAGTGAATCCTGAAACATAATGACCCAATTGATAGAAATCTCCTATGGCCGATGTAAGCACTTACGATACCCCTACAAGCTTCTTACTGAAGCACACTACCTCCTACATGAACAAATTCTGATGACTGAGACACCCACCTAAAGAATGGGTTCTTCAGATCCAGCAGATTACTAGATTTGGATCCAGTCTGATCCACCTGAGCAACAATACTGATATCATAACTTTGCCTGTAAGAGAGAGAGCGTGGAAAAAAAAAATGAGACGCTACAAACAGAAATAGAGGAAGATGGCAACACAATCATTCAACGGGTCTGGAACAGCCACACTTCCTCCCACCTTTTGTTAGCAATAAGAGCGACTGTCCCAGATAAGGTGTCTCCAGCTTTGGTGAAGAGGGGGGACTGTAGGAGGCAGCGGACCTGGTACCAGTGGGTGAGAGGTTCAGTGGGGGCTGTGGAAAGCCATACAGTCATTCTGAAGAAAGAAAAAAAAAAAAAAACAACACACTAAGAAATCCCTGCACAATACATATATTGGTCATTTATAATACTTGTGTTCTCTACTTTACATTTACCAACCATATAGAATACCTGATTGGATATAAATGGATCAGATTGTTTAGGTAAGTCCATATAATACATAGTAATTAGAAAATATATAGGAGATAATACAATCTGATAAAATGCGGCCAGCTTAAGAAAAGGCACTCCCAAAGTGGATCACACAGAGTGACACAAAAGAACACCATTATGAATGTATATGTGAACCCTCACCATGTAAAACAACCCATTCAGTTTAAAATAGAGAATGAAAGGGAAAACATTTCTGTATACATATAAAAAAATATGTTAGAAACTCCTTTGTCCCTTTTTTTTTTTTTTTTTTTTTTTTTTTTTTTTTAATATAGGTGATCACATTATCTCTGTTCTCAGCTGCATAGGAGCAGGCTGCGGGAGAAGCAGCAGCACACTGACCTTCCCAGTGAATGGCTGTGTGAAGGGGGGGCGGGGGGGTGTCAGCAGAAGTCTGATCATTGGAGGAAAGCGGGCTGAGTTTCAGCATAGTTAGAGAACTGACCATGCTGTGCTCTCGGGCCTAGTGTGGTCCAGTTTTAATAGGAAAGCACAGGAACTGGCAGGAACACCAGGGATTTCACACAAAGGAAGCAATACAAAGAGAACAGGATACTTTTTCATACAAGTACATGGTACAGCGGGCACATATCAGGAATATGAAATGTTGGGTTTACATATTCTGTAAGTTTTGGATATAGCTCTAAGAAGAAAAAAAAATAAATAAACCCACACGCTGTCAGACTGTACTGGTAGTTGCACAGCTTACATTTTCTCACACTTTCTAAGTGAAATTTTCACACTGACATGAAGTGTAATTTGCAGCCACAGACAGCAATAAGAATGACAGATGGCCAAACATTTTTACTTGAGTTAGCATTTCGTGATTATAAAATACGATCTGATAAAACTGAAGAAACTGACCTATCAATATCTTACACAGTGCATAGCTAATTTAAGTTATGAAACTGACCTAAATGAAAAGCTGTTACCTAGAAGCGCTAGCATGTACCTATTTAATGTCCAGAGCACCTTAAACCACCCCCCCCACCCCCAAATCAAAGGCCAAATATTGACTTCCAGTTTTTAACCACTTCCTGTCCAGACACTTTCACCCCCTTCCTGACCAGGGCAATTCTCAGCTTTCAGCGCTATCACACTTTGAATGACAATTGCGCGGTCATGCAACACTGTACCCATATGAATTTTTTACCTTTTTTTGAGACAGATACAACTTTATTTTGGTGATAGTTATTCACCACTGGGATTTTTATTTTTTTTGCTACGTAAATGAAAAAGTCCAAAAATGTTGGAAAAAAAAAGTTTTTCTTATACAATTTTGCAAATAAATATTTCATCATAAATCTTGGCCGAAATGTATTCCGTTATCTTTTTAGTAAAAAAAAAAAAATAAGCCAAATTAGTTTATGACCAAAAATTATAATTGTTAAACTTTTTTTTACATTTTTATTTTATTTTTTTATATTCTTATTTTATTTTTTTTACACACTGTCACCCTAGCGCAGTACAGTGTCACCATGGTGACACTGTACTACTTGTGGGGGGTGATGAAGATTTTTTTTTTTTTAAACACTGATTGCTTTTACACCCATATAGGATGTAAAAGCAATAATTTCTTTCTCTCTGTCTGCATTCCTGCAGCCATTGAGAACTACTGAGTGAGCTGTGATTGGTCACAGCTTGTCACACGGTACAAGGCTGTTGTGAATAGCCTTGTACCATGTGACCTCTGTGATCATTCACAGATTTCACACGTAGTAAGCAATGATGTCACAAGTGACATCTTGCTTACTACTTTGCATGTGATCACTGATTGGCCAATCAGTGATCACGTGATCGGGACCTCGTACAGAGGTCCCGTCCGACGATCGGTGCTTTACTGTGTCCGGAGGACACAGCGGGCACCGGATCCCAGGGAGCGCGCACAAGCAGGGTGTGGGGAGGCCATTTATAAACGGCCACCCGACCCTGCAGTGTCACCGTCCAGCCGTTTATATACAACGGCCAGACGGGAGGTGGTTAAAGTGATCAACGCTATACCTTCAGAAGTCTTTCCAGATACAATGACATCATTCTTTCCTTCCTAAGCTAGAATTATTGACATTGAATTGAAATATCAGCCAAAAGAAGAGAGAATGTCATTGTATCCCTGCAAACTTGCTACAAAAATACACTCTGCTATGGACATCACTTTTGTTGCATTTTATTGTTGGGTATAAACAAAACCCCTGAAAATAAAGTCAATGTGTTTAAACCTAGGTTCACACTTGCACAGGACGCGCACTGCATTCCAGCGTAATTCATGTGATTCGAGCGAGCTCAAATCATGACATACTGCACCAAAAGCAGTGCACGTACCAATTTTAGAACTGCAACGGAATCACATGGTAGATTTCTGCAATACGAACTGGTGAAGGCAAACGCACTGCGTTTATAACCTGCATTTGGGGTGTCGTTAACATTGTACTGACAAAACTGCAGATCGCAATCTGTTTGCGTTTCCAGCACCGCGTTCTAGTGTGAACCAGATTAAAGCACATACTGTAAGATACAGGTAGAACGCTTTCTTTGGGATGCTTAACTCCTTGTCTACAAAGGTGCATTTTTAAACATCCTGGTATTAAATGGGTTAAAGCAAGCGGACGGCAGCTGCAGCAGCGAGCTTGGTGTGGTCTATTACAGTTGGTGATCATCTTTCAGGTAAAGGTGATGTGGTTAGCTCTGGAACTGCCCGGATAAATTAGGGTGCAGCCCCTCCTTTTTCCTGAGAACAGAATCTTAATAGCCTGTCAGTCTGCCAATGTACACACACAGGGTGTGTCTTTAAGCTGTCAAAAATGAAACCAGACAGTCTTTCTTCTGATCTTGAGAAGGAATAACTTCACATTAAAACTAGCGATTGCTTAATAGTTTAATCAACATCATTCAGGCACATATGCATTTTAAGGCTTGGTTCACATCTGTGCGGGTGGTGCAGCTGCAGATCCGCACAAAAATCTGTGCAGCCGCACCGCCCACACAGAAGAATACAGACCCGTGGGCAGGTGCCATTAATTCTAATGGCATGCCATCCACACTGGAAATGGCAAACGTACTGGGAACCAAGGTTCGCATGCGGGCTGCGTTTTCAGAAGAAGTGCAGGGACTTCTTCCCAGCGTGTCACGGGGCACGGGAGTCCATTCAAATGAATGGGCTCTCGTGCCCGCGCAAAACGCAGTCCACGGGCCCATATGTGAACCGGGGGTAAGAGACCTTGGCTTCTCAGCTTGGCTACTGTCATCAACAAGGGTTACAAATCCTGCTGCTACAAACCAAAATGTAAAATACAGGAGGAGTGGGACCTCTGGGAAGGTTCACCAACGGTGAGTGAACTCAAATTAGGCAAAGACCTAGAACAACTGTTTGTTTTTTGTTAGGATCCTGTATTCCAGTTGTATGAGCTTCTAAAGTAGAACATAACCAGTCAATTTATTTTTTGGCATCTGTGCCCCATTGGGGAGATTTCCCTTCACGTCCTGCCCTATAGCCAAAACAGGAAATGAAAGAAAATCTCTGCAAATTAAGGAAATTCCCTGGGGACCCCCAGACCTAGTGTCCCCACTGGAAAATTTCCCCTCTATTACTTTTCTGAGGACAACCCAAAATTTGGGATTTTCTTTTACTTTCACTATCAATGATAATGGTAAACAAAAAGGTAAAGTGGGGGAAATCACCCAAATGGGGGCAGAGAGAGCAATAAATACCTAATAGATGTTCTAATGACTCTCCACGACATTCAAAACAAAAAACTTTAACTGTGTATTTTTTAAGAATTACCAACGTCATCCAGCTCTACAGTAAAGAGGAAAAACTTGCATGTCATATATTCAACTTACATGGATCCAATGAAAGCCACATCAAACCAGAAGGCCAAGCCATGGACCAGACCAGAATGAAGCATGTGAAAGGAGAAGGGGATTTCTATTCTGTTGGAGAAAGAATGGTTATAATGAATATGTACATAGGAACGCAGACACAATATTACCGGGTGTGATTGATGCCCTTAAGGTAAACCTGTAATGAAGAGGATATGGGGACTAGTTGACTAGTAAAACAGCTAGTGGATCAGCTAGCAGATGTCTTTAACCGCTTCCATACCGGGCACTTTTACCCCCTTTCTGCCCAGGCCATTTTTCAGGTTCCAGCACTCTCACACTTTGAATGACAATTGCGCGGTCATACAACATTGTACCAAAACTAAAATTTTATAATTTTCTTCACACAACTAGAGTTTTCTTTTCATGGTATTGAATCACTGCTGGGGTTTTAATTTTTTGCTAAATTAACTTATTAAATTAATTGTGCATGTGATCGCTGTGACCATTCACAGCTAGACACACTAGTATACAATGGATGGCATGAAAGGAAGCCATCCATTGTATACAACTGTCATGTGACCTGCTGTGATTAGTCACAGCAGGTCACATGGTACTGGAAACGGGGCTGGTACACAGATCTGTCATCGGCCGTGTCCGAGGTACACGGCCGGTGACAGATCGCGCCGCAGAGCGGCCCTGCGGGCAGGCACACTGCGCACGCCTGAAAGGGCGCCATATGGCATCCACCCGGAGGGACGAGGTGTTTTGCCGGCCGCTTTTGTGCTATTGGCTGGGCGGGAACTGGTTAAAGAGCAATGAAGCAAGAGTGTGCAGGGACTTTTTCCATGTGTTTTCAGGAGGTATAGGAGCCCAAATGAATGAATGGGCTGCTGTACCTAAGCAAACACAGCCACTGGAAACCGCTCATAGATGTGAACCGGGGGTAATAGCATTTTCAGATGAAAATGTTACAAACAGCAGTCTTCGTGTATTACTGAACATTTTTGAGGGAAAGGGTGTGAATTAATCCTGCAGTCAGACAAATGGAAGCCAATTTCTGACTGCTTGATATGGATTACTACTTTGCTGACATGTAGTACCTGTGCAAGTCAGACTCTTTGGCATCCAGGAAATTCACGGTATATTTCACAGATTTGGCCATCAGTATTCTAATATCAAAGGTATCCTAAATAGAAAAAAAAAAAAAAAAAATGAAGACTGACCGTGGGAGGAAAGCAGGAAAAGAGTGACTATTTGCAGTCAACATACCACAACTGGTTGCTTAAAATATTCATCTACAGCGGCTCCTCGAAGTGCTGAAAGATCCACACCATGGAAAGAGGGCTGGTACCTAAAGGGAAGGATAGAAGGCTGAGCAAAACTATTTGCAGATGGGATTGCTTAGAAGTTACTGTATATAGCGCCAACATACAGCACAGCTCCCTGTATGGTACATAAAACCATTCACATCACATCCACCCACAAAACTATCACTCACATCTGCCCACAAAGGAGCTTACATTCCAACATCCCCTGATCATGCAATACGTTCAAACGGGTCAGTTGAGAGTGAAAGCTCCCTCACTATGGCAGGAATCCACATTAGGTAAGTGCTAGTTTTGGATGGTGGTGATGGTTACTCAGATGGGTGACATCACCGCACGCCACAGTGCTCCAGCCAGGTGATTGGTCATTCGGGTTTGAGTACTTTGACTTGTTCCCCCATATCCAAAGCCCAGCGCTGAGCAATTTGGAGGTGTAGAGGGAGTGCAGGTAGTGTATATATGGCTGTGACTGTCCTGAATGGGCAGGGAAGCAGGGTCCCTTAAGGAGAAAATGGAATACCTAGTGGTGGGCTTTCACTGTAACCTGTGCCTAGCATATGAAAAGTTTTACCAATATCTTGTTGTTGGTACATGGCCCCCTTACAGATTTGTTTAAAGAGATGGCATATACATTCCAGAGAAAGGAAGATAGTCAGCTACCAGTTTGCAAAAGGTTAATGAAGCCATTGGATCATAGAGAAAGCTAGACAACTAGCGACTGTAGAAGGAAAGGCGGGCAATAGCAGCCTACATGCTCCCCAATGGAAAAAAAAAAAAAAGGCTCCTTTAAGACCTCAGTCGCTCAGAGCTGGCCCTTATCCAGATAAATGACTAGTAATTCAACCCTCTTTATGTAACCCTGGGCTGAATGACACACAGCAAATATCTATACAGGAGAAAAGACTGCCCATCACTAAAAGACCAGGAGAGATATCCTGGAATATTATGTAATCACACAGTGAAGGCATGGAGATTTAAAGTGTACCCTTACTATGGACATTAACCCCTTGGCGTCGCTGCCTCCCAACCCTTTGGGGTTTCAGATGCCAGGAGGTGGGGGCAGGCTTTCTTATGTGATCCCTTTGTGATAACATTTTGCCCTTTCTGTTTCAGTTTTCTCCCCTTTGTAAAGCTCTATATGTTTAGCAGCTGGTATGTAGACAGACATTCTACACTGTTTAGGGAAATGTGACCTTGTAGTCTTTCTCTTCTATAGAGTTCAAACTGTATTGTTGGTTGTAGGGTTTTGTTGTGGGTGGGGAAAACCCGATGCCAGGCTGTCTGGTGGGGGTGAAGCTGTATATACTGAGCTGTGTTTAGTAAAGATTCATTCATTCACCCTACACGAAGTTCTGACTCGTGGTTTGGGGAAGGATTGGTTTTGAGCTTTAATACCTGCCTGGACAGAGCGCTGGAAGACTTGCTGGAACAGGGGACCATTGGGTGAGACGTATCGCTCTGCACGAGGAAGCCCAGGCGGAACGGTTCTGCCGCAACCACCATGAATGGCTGTCACAGCGGTCACATGATGAGAAAGCTCCCGATCACATGATGAGAAAGCTCCCGATCACATGATGAGAAAGCTCCCGATCAAAGTAGAGAGCATGAGCTTTTTGTTATCCTCCGGTAACTGCCAGGAGTGTGGACAGTGCATGCTCTCGGCACAGTTCTGTTTATCTTTATGTACACATATATGCGGCCTCTCAGCGTTAGGGCCTACCCGCCGAAAGACCACATAAATGCGTAAGGCCAGCAGAAAGGAGTTAAGTATTTAAACATTCCTAACAAGCAGTAAGTTTTAAAACAAGCCTTTACTGACCTCTCTAATAGCTTATACTATGAGTAACTCCTCCTCAAACATCTCAACAAAGACTCTAAAGTCAGTTTCAATCAGCCACTTGCTGAGTGTTTACAGGTAGGCTGCCAAGATTCTACTGTAATACAAAATAAAGGCGGTAGAAATGAAAGTAGTATAGCCAAAGCTTTTTTGGTTATACTTCTCATATAAATCACAGAAGTGCAGCTAGTTCTGCACTCCTGTGACCCATTTTCAGCCGACAGCAGGTGAATGTCACAGAGCTGGTCCAGAATCTGGAAAGATACCGACCATATGGTCGGGATCCACCCAGAAACCTGGACTGGCACCTGGCTCAGACTCTCAGAAATCCGCCAATCCAGCCCCTCCTGATCCTTCCAGAGCTCGGCGCTCCAGTGAGCTGAAGGGGCAGAGTAAAGAGCTGGTAACTGACAAGGGAGGGGGAAGAACTGAGCAGGAGTACAGAACTGGCGAGGGATTGAAGCTGCACACACTTAGGTGTGTTTTTAGGATTTCTGTGTCTGCTGCTGTGAACTTTGAAGACAAAGTTTTCCACAAAACCTATATCTACAAAAGTGTGTTTACTGGTTATTCAAAATATATAAAGTGGGCAAAAATTGGGCATAAATTGGGCACAGGTTCACGTAATGGTTATTTGGCAGTAACGTTTTACAAATGTACTCTGGGGGTTGAATAGAGGGAAGTTCTGCTTTAAAGAAGCACACCATCAACATCATTTCTTCTTAGGTCTGCAATTCTTTGACAACCTTGAAGGAACTCACCAGAAGTTGGCTTTTGTAAACTGTTCCATGTAAAGCTGCTCATCTGTGAACGGTGCTAGATGAACGTCTCCAATAGTAGGAAACATATTACCTGGAGAAAAGAGACATGAAAATGCCAGGCTGGAAATGCTAAAGCTAAGTCACCCTGATCAATTATACTTCTCAAATTTAGCTAGACAACAATCTACTGAATCATTTAACTTTCTGGAAACCTAGATCATCAGCTGTTCTTTGTCACTTTAAGAACTCCAATAGTAACATTTTCACTAAAGTGTATAATGGTGGGTCTGGCATCACACTAAAATGAATTCTCTGTACAATTGTGCAACCATCTGTAATTTACCAGTTAAGCTCACCTTTGGAAACGTAATATGTTCCTGCAGCTCTCCCCCCAATCGACCCTGTGACAGAGGGCTGGGGATCTTCTCCCTGCACCCACTGTCACGATTTCAAAAGAGTTCTGTGAATGAATGCCTACACTGAGCTTCCTACAGTTACACAAAGTCTGCAGGAGCCCGACACGGCAACTGCGATCTGCTGAATGCAATGTTTTTTGTAAGGAAAAAAAAGTAAATGCTCATTTTACCTGCAAAAAAATGTGCATTATATATATATTTTTAAAAAGGTGAACTTATCCTTTAACCTCTTCCCACCAACCGTATGTATATATGTGGCTTCTTGGCATGTGAGCTTTAATGCCAAGAGGCCACATATATGTGTCCCAAATGAAAACATTTCTGTGCTGACAGTGCACGCCCTGAGCGCTCCCCAGCACAGTTACCGGTGAGTACCGGAAAGCTTCCGATGCCTACTTGCGATCGAGAGCTATGTGACCGTGGTGCCAGTCAATCACAGCAGTCACATGATCGGAAATGCCCACCTCTGCCTCCCAGCATTTAGAACGTCTTAAAGGGAGGCAGCGGCAGGAAGGAGTAATTTAAATCTACTGCCTTAGCTACAAACTTTGGCTGGAAATCTTAATTCTGGCATCCCCAAGAGACACAAAAAAACAAGGGTGATTTAACCTTCAGGGATTCACCTAGAACTGAAATCTCAGTATTGGACTTAAAGTGGTTAGAAAGCAAACATTTTTAACTTCATGTATTTCTTACATAAAAGTTAAAAAATATTTAGGTTTCAGTTTCCCCCCAACCCCCCTCCAGCCTTTTACTTTCCTGAACCCTCATTTATTCCAGCACTGTGCCCATTTGCAGCTCTCCTCACTTCCTCGCCGCATTGGCTCACGCTGCTGGCAATCAAAGCTAGTGACAAGGGATCAGGGCAGAGTCCTGCTGTCTGTGTAAATAGATGCAGACAGCAAGGCTCGGGAGCAAGCCCGTATGAGTGGCCCCATAGGAAGAGACTTGGGGCGAGTGCAATGTATTGCTCTGGCTACAGCCACGGGGCGACACCCACTCTCTATCTTCCTGTTCCTGACCCTCCTTTCCCTCTTCCCCTTGCCTTTCTACTCTCTCCTTTTTTTGCCACATGATCCCTGCCCTAAGATGTATGCACGGTTTTACTGGCCCGCTTATGTGTATAACTGACTTTGGATACCTGCCAGTACCTTTTAAATCAGTACTACTTCAATTGATTTCATACAGGCATGCTCTGTATGGAATCTGAAGCTGCCTACTAATCACCCCCCAAACCCCTCCAAAACACACACACTTTTTTTTGTTTTTCTTGTTAAATGGTTTTTATATACGGTTTTCTAATTCTAGGCTATTCCTTGTTTGCCCAAGAGAAGTTTCATATTAATTTGTTGTTCCCAATTGGGATGTGTCCTTTTTTCTGCCACCTTTTTATATCTGTACTTGTGTACATTTTCAATAAATCTATTAAAAAAAACAAAAAAACATTTACAATCACTTGAACTTTTATGATTTAATATTTTCATCTCATCTTTGTTCATTTGTGCAGCTCATTGTCAGAGCCAAAGGCAAGTGATGATTCTCAGCATTGATACATCAACATTCAGCAACTGTAACGCCTTACCGTTAGGTTTGAGAAACTTCTTTGCATGCAAGTAACTCTCCAGCATCCTCTCATTGAACAGCATGTATCCCATAGGCTCAGAGATGATAATATCCACCTGTTCAGGGAGAGCCACTTCCTCCACCTTCCCTGGGATCACCACAATTCGATCTGTTAGATTGTTACTCTTCACCAATAGCTACAGAAGTAACAGAAAACATCAGTTCACTGTTAGTGGACCGCGTGAAAGCATAGGCATGCCTTACAAAAATACAGAATGTTCTTTCGGTTTGTAACTTGCTAAAAAAGTCACATGTAAGTCTAACAGTCTGATTTGGATATTTCATACACTTGAAATCATAACTCTACTCACAATGGATTTTTCAATTTTTGCTGGAGTAGATATGATTTAGCGGTCCAAGGTGACAGTGGGGCCATCCATCCTTTGCTCAACTGGAGTCAAACTTGAAAAACTGCACGGAGCTTTTAAAATGGGGCTTCTGGCATCTTATTAGCATGAATTTTCTGTACAACCATGCAGCCCTGTTATAATTTAGGTTATGTAAAACCTTTTTTACTTTAATCTGCTGCCAGCTATGATTTTATAATTGACAATAATAAACCTCTCTTTCCCAAAACTATGACAGTGGTGTCCAGTGTGTAGTCAGAATTCCCAGGATTCTCATCATTCTGCTACTGTAGGGGTTGCTCACTGCTCCTTCCACAAATAAGAGTACAAGGTCAAAGGACATGTTCCGTACCGTCAATGAATTGATGGTGCCATCCTAGGACAGGACTACAGAACAAGTTTGCAGATCAGTAAAGTCAGAACTGTTTATCGGTTTATCTGCACACTTGTTCCAGATCAGTGACCCAAACTACAAATTGGAAAAATTAACAATTGACTCCTGGACAAAAGGTGAGATGGACTATTTAGTCTCCCCAATGAGACTGGGAGAAAAAAAAAAGGACAAAATTTTAACTATACGCCGCACTATACAAAAAAAACTGCAAGAGTCTATTTTATTTTTATTGCTGCCTGTGATGCCATCTGAGAAATTTCTTTGTGCGTCCTGTTCGCAAAATCACAAAAAAGGAAATTACTCATTTTTTACGGCTTCCACTGGATTAGATGTCACCATTAGATCTCCTCTTCACCCCCATTCCAGAAAGAGCTGTAAAAGTTTGGATTTCCTATCATGTTTTCTTCTAGTGGCAGTGGTCACAAGACAAGGATATACTTAAAGCCGAGTTCCACTCACCCTGTCAAAAAATAAAAGTCAGCAGCTACAAAAACTGTAGCTGCTGACTTTTAAAAAACAGCCACTTACCTGTCCCTCGGTCCTGCGGTGTGTCCCCCACAGCTCGTTTCACCGGCTGTCTTGTATTCCAGGAGGCCGGCATCTTCAGTGTGGGCACCCGGCTGTGATAGCTTGCGGCTTCACAGCCAGGTACCCACTGCACATGTGCAAGTAGTGCTGCGCTTTCTGGATGGTCCTGTAGTCTTCTGGGACCTGTCACGTGTCCCAAAAGACTACAGGGAGGGAGGACACCTGTTTCCGATCGCCTAGGAAGTGGGAACCTAACAAATTCGGGCACCCGCTCCCCCCATGCCCCTCAAAGGTTCCAATCCTTAATGGGGAGCGGGAGAGCAGTCAAAGCGGAACTTCCCCTTTTGGGTGGAGCTACAGTTTAAAGCGGAACTAATCTGCTGAATGAATGATTTACCCAAACCCTTTTCCACACCATCATTCCAAAAACTCCAGCATATATGTATATGCGCTGCCATTGTCTTGCTGGTATCTAGGACCTGGCATAGACTGTCGATGCATGGTGGGATTTCTGTGCATGTGCCCAAACACTGCCAACTTCTGGCAGATTGCTACTATACCGTTGGCGGCCTTTAGGCACATGCGCGCACAGCTTTGTAACACACTGATTCTTGGGAATGCAGTGACGCTGTAATCCTAGCAAGCAGCAAGGCCTGGACTAGGCCAGAAACCCATAAGTGCTGCTATGCAACTGTAAAAATTAGAGTAAAAACTGTCAGCAATTGTGTAAGATGGAGTGGGGAGGGCTAAAACAAAAAAACAAAAAACAAAAACAAAAAGGAGGTAGTTTAATTTTAAATATTACAAAAGAGAAGAAATATGCGCCGTCAATTGGGCTCTTAGGCCACACCAGGAATGGAGCCTGTTACAAGGGAATGATGCAGGTGGGGAAGATCTACATGTTACTAGTCCAATGGGGCAATGAAGAATCGACAAGGAATGGCCCCTCTCTTGCGCCAAAATTGGTTGTGCACAAAATAACATCTTACTGTAAAACCTAACCTTCATATTTATCAAAAATGATGCCAGTTAAGAGCCAGTTCAGTGCAGAAACAATAAGATATAAAGCTCCAATACAAAGCTGTTGCTAAATGAGATTGTAGAAGTGTCTGGCCAGTTTTACTGTAATACTCGAGGCCTGGTCTGTGCCATGACCACTCACCTCGGCATGCTGTGCCATTGTGCTCGCTTCAACAGCATAAACCTTGCGAGCTCCAGCCTGAACTGCAAAGAAGGACAGGATCCCTGAGCCACAGCCAACATCTAAAATAACCTAAAAAAAGAAAAAAAAAAAATGAGAATATTTTCTGATCCCACCCAGAATATGTGCTATGATGTGCTCCAAAATTTACTTTATCTTTGAAGTCTGTATGGTTCTGCAGGATCGCTCGCTGGTAGGTGCCAGTCCTCACATAGTCCTGCATCATGTTCTGTTGCTGTGACAGGTAGCCATAAAACTGCAATGGAAAAAAAAAATATAACTTCAATTTAAAGCTACAGAAACAACTACAGACTTTCCAATAGCTTACACAACATGGTAGAATACGTCTGACAAGGCTTGCACCATTTGTACAGTAACAATGCTGAATGAACCTGTGTTAGTCTTTAACATGAATCTATATGGAACTCCTTGGACTATACAAGGAGCCTCAAGTTCTGTCCAAATTGGTATTAAAACTCATACTCTCTGGAGATAGGCTGTGGCTTCATTGTCAAATGCTGAATTTTAGTAAGACAAAAAGGAAGGCTGTGATGTTTGGCAGTTGAATGATGGGGTGGATTCAGTGTAATGAGGAGTTGGGGTATCAGTTCAAGTTAGGCAGAAAGCCCATGTACAGATCTTGCCCAAGATCCAAAAGACTCTACAGAATTGACTAGTATGTGTAAATTCCCCCCACTGCTGCCAACACAAGTCTTACATGAATGACAAAGAAATTGTTAAAGCTTAACTCCAGGATAAGCAACTATTTTTTCAAATACAAGAGGCATGTGCATTGTTCACTGAATCTTGGTGTGTTTTGTGTATTTTTCTCTAGAACTGTATAAAGACCAATCACGGCTGTGCTCTCTCCTTGTAAATCACCTTATGGTCTCGTATCTGCCTCCTCCTGTAGTGGGTGGTCTTGCTGGGTCTCTCTCCCACAGCTCCGCGCTTTGTGTTTGCAAAGATATTTGATGCACACAGTGGATTTATATACTTTTTTGGCTATTAAATACATTTAAATAAAAAAAAAAAGTTTGCTCAGAGTTTAACTTCCTTAAAGCGGAGCTCCACCCAAAAGGGGACGTTCCGCTGTAAAGAATGCTCCCCATTAAGAATTGGCACCTTTGGGGGGGCGGGGGGGAACGGGTACCCAAATTTGACAGGTACCCACTCCCACTTCCGGTCCGATTGCCTAGGCGACCAGAAGCAGAGGGTGTCCTCCCTCCCTGTAGTCTTTTCGGACACGTGACAGGTCCCAGAAGACTACAGGGCCATTCATGAAGCGCGCGCTACTCGCACATGCGCAGTGGGTGCCCACACTGAAGATGCCAGCCTCCTGGAATACAGGACGGCCGGTGAAAAGGGCTGCAGGGGACACACCGCGAGACCGAGGGACCGTAAGTAGCTGTTTTATTTTTTTAAAAGTAAGCAGCTACAGGTTTTGTAGCTGCTAACTTTTATTTTTTGACAGGGTGAGTGGAACTCCGCTGTAAGAAATATAGTTAACCACTTCCCGACCGGCCGTTGCATATAACCAGCTGCACGGTGGCAGTGCAGGGTCGGGTTGCCGTTTATAAACGGCCTCCCCGCACCCTGCTTGTGCGCGCTGCCTGGGAGCGCGCAGCACCACGATCCGGTGCCCGTTGTGTCCTCCGGACACAGTGAAACACCGATCGTCGGACGGGACCTCTGTACGAGGTCCCGATCGTATGATCACTGATTGGCCAATCAGTGATCACATGCAAAGTAGTAAGCAAGATGTCACTTGTGACATCATTGCTTACTACGTGTGAAATCTGTGAATGATCACAGAGGTCACATGGTACAGGGCTATTCACAACAGCCTTGTACCATGTGACAAGCTGTGACCAATCACAGCTCACTCAGTACTTCTCAATGAGTGCAAGAATGCAGACAGAGAGAATGAGAAATGATTGCTTTTACATCCTATCTGGGTGTAAAAGCAATCAGTATAAAAAATAAAATCTTCATCACCCCCCACAAGTAGTACAGTGTCACCATGGTGACACTGTACTGCTAGGGTGACAGTATGTAAAAAAAAAATAAAAAAAATAAAAAATAATATAACAATAAAATAAAAATGTAAAAAAAATGTTTAAAAATTATAATTTTTGGTTATAAACTAATTTTTTTTTTTTTTTTTACTAAAAAGATAACTGAATACATTTTGGCCAAGATTTATGATGAAATATTATTTATTTGCAAAACTGTATAAAAAAAATTTTTTTAAAAATTTTTGGGACTTTTTCATTTACATAGCAAAAAAAATAAAAATCCCAGCGGTGAATAAATACCACCAAAATAAAGCTTTATCTGTCTCAAAAAAATGGTAAAAAATTAATTTGGGTACAGTGTTGAATGACCGCGCAATTGTCAACGTGTGATAGCGCTGAAAGCTGAGAATTGCCCTGGTCAGGAAGGGGGTAAAAGTGTCCGGTCTGGAAGTGGTTAAATAAGAAAAAATTTTTGCCCGGAGATCAACTTCCTTAAGGGTCCCAGCATTAGATATATTTTAACTGATCTTAAATAAAATTATAGCCTTTACTTACTAAAGCTGGAAATGTCATATTAAAACCGTTTTATAAGGTTTTAGATAGATTGGGGAATCCGTCAGGTATTTACAATCGAGTCCCCACTGACGAAGTCCCCACTGACGAAGTCCCCACTGACGAAGTCCCCACTTCACGTACCCAAGAATGTGATTACTGGGACAGGAAGTCATGGGAAATCTCAACACACACAGATGACTGAAAGGGTTTCTAATACTTCCTGACTACCCAAAGTTGAACTAAAACATTTTGGCTGGCATGACGCAAACTCCTATGGGGGAAGAATTCCTGGCAATTTTATACTGTGATGACAGATTGATACCTGGAAGTACTGCACAGCTGATGATTCCTCTGTCCGCTCACTGAACACACTCTTGTCTAAAGATGAATTCCTACAACCTTTGATTATATTGTAAAAGGAGCAGAAATCTGCAGAGGAAGAACAGGGTTACAGAGGCCACGGACATACTTCATCGCATCTTCTGAATGCAACGACAACTGGAACAAACTTTTTTCCACAGACAATGGCTAAGGCCTTATTCGCACTTTCAGACTTAATATGTATTGAAATATTTGACTGTTAAAATTAAAAAAACGTTGCCACTGGTTCCCATCTATGCACTGAAAATGCAGTAATCCACCATTTTCAATGTTTTCACTGAATGCAGAGGAAGGTATGCTTCTTGTATGGGCATGCACATGTACAGGGTGTAGATAGCTGTGCTGATCTCTGCAGGATTAATTCAAGGTGTCCAAAGGAATGGTTTTCGGGATGTGGAGGAGAGAAACAGAGCTGTACGACTATTGGGTGCCCAAACTGAAAGGATCCTCCAAAAGATGGGGAAAAAAATGCTTAAACAGATCATCTCAAATCAGGGTTATCAGATTTACAAAAAGTCAAATTGTATCAGAACTATCACCAGTAATTTGTATTTGGGCAGCTATGCAAGAAATCTGATGTTGCTTTGAACACCAGATGACAGGTTATCAACAATGCTACAGTCTATTTATGTATTTTGCACTATTGCTATACACTCACCGGCCACTTTATTAGGTACACCTGTTCAATTGCTTGGTAATACAAATTGCTATTCAGCCGAAACCATATGGCAGCAACTCTAGGCATTTAGACGTGGGGAAGACGACTTGCTGCAGTTCAAAGCAAGCATCAGAATGGGAAAAAAGGGGATTTAAGTGACTTTGAATGTGGCATGAATGTTGGTCTGAGTATTTAAAAAAACTGCTGATCTACTGAGATTTTCACACAGCCATCTGTAGGGTTTACAGAAAATGAACCGAAAAAAAGAAAATATCCAGTGAGCGGAAGTTGTGTGGATGAAAATGCCTGGTTGAGGTCAGAGGAGAATGGGCAGACTGGTTCGAGATGATAGAAAGGCAACAGTAACTCAAATAACCATTACAACCAAGGTATGCAGAATACCATCTCTGAACGCACAACACATTGAACCCTGAAGCAGATGGGCTACAGCAGCAGAAGACCACACCGGGTGCCACTCCTGTCAGCTAATAACAGGAAACGGAGGCTACAATTCACATTGACTCACCAAAACTGGACAATAGAAGATTGGAAAAACATTGCCTGGTCTGATGAGTCTTTATTTTAGCTGCAACATTCAGATGGTAGGGTCAGAATTTGGCATATCATGAAAGCGTGGATCCATCCTGCCTTGTATCAACGGTTCAGGCTGGTGGTGGTGTAATGGTGTGGGGGATATTTGCTGGCACACTTTGGGCCCCTTAGTACTAATTGAGCATGTGGTGGAACGGGAGATTCGCATCATGGATGTGCAGTCGACAAATATGCAGCAACTTCGTGATGATATCATGTTAATATGGACCAAAATATCTGAGGAATGTTTCCAACACCTTGTTGAATCTATGCCATGAATAATTAAAGTGTTACTAAACCCACAACAGTAAAATAAATCTGTATATGCAGTAAAGCATGCTTGTTATACTCACTGTGGAACTTAAGGTATTAATCCTTTGCATTGTGTAAAAATGCTGTTTGATCCTGTCTTCTCTGATCCTCCCCTTCTTCCAGTGCCCCCCTCTTACCTCCTGATAAGACATATTGTTTGGATAAACTTTGCACAAGCTCAGTTTTGTGTGTATTGCTAGAGGTCTTTTTTTTTATTTTTCTTGGGAGAGTGCATTTGATCAGCACAGGGCCAATCAGCACTGTCCAGACAGAGGTCAGGGGTTCTGCATTCTGCTAAAGCAGAAAGAAGACACCTCCAACAAGCTTTAACCAGTGCTCTGCTGAACACTGATAGAAGTCACGAGACAGCTCTAACTGCTGATGAGAAAAGGTATTTAGCAGTTTCTATTTACTAAAATAACGGCACTTCCATGTTCTGTGTACTGTGGGAGACCAGATATAGGGAATGCAGGGTCCGGGGAGACCGGATATAGTGAATGCAGGGTCCGGGGAGACCAGATATAGGGAATGCAGGGTCCGGGGAGACCAGATATAGGGAATGCAGGGTCCGGGGAGACCAGATATAGGGAATGCAGGGTCCGGGGAGACCAGATATAGGGAATGCAGGGTCCGGGGAGACCAGATATAGGGAATGCAGGGTCCGGGGAGACCAGATATAGGGAATGCAGGGTCCGGGGTTTAATACCACTCTAAGGCAGTTCTGAAAGCAAAAGTGGGTCCAACCCAGTACTAACTAGAAAGGTGTGCCCAATCAAGTGGCCGGTGAGTGTATATCCTGTACACTTTTTTTGAGTCACCAAAGACAAGTCAATCTGTTGGGATCTCTGCTACACGCATAGCAAGATGTCAAAATATTACAGCTGAACTCCGATTTACAGTTTACAAATGATAATTTTCATTATGAAGAATTAATTTGGAGGGAAAAGACATGCCATCATTTGCCTCAATAAGGATTTTGGATTTGCACATCATTCCCGTCTAAACTCACACCCCAGGTCCAGGGAAGCTAGGCACAGCAGTGAGGAGATGGCGAGGAAGAAGTGTGGTTCTGATCCAGCATTGTGTATGAGGAGCAGAAGCTCTCCCAGGTCTCTGCCTCCTCATTGGCTGAGACAGCCAGTAAGGAAGGAGTGGAGGCGGGGCAGAGCTGCATTTTGTAACTCACAGACAGCTCAGGATAGAGCATGCACGATACTCAGCCGGGAAGGGGGGGGGGGGCCCTGGAGAGCCAATGGGGGACTCGAGAAGGAGAGGATTACGGCTGCTCTGTGCATAACCAGTGCACGGAGCAGGTAAGTAAAAGAAATAAAATCTGAACTTTTAGAATCACTTTAGGACACGTTGGATCCTTCTGCTGATCGTCTAAAACTTCAAATCACTGACCCAGAGCAAGCGTGCAGCTAAGAAAAGATCTGCATCAGTTGATCAACATGACAGCCAGGCAACTGGCCTTCTCAGAAAGAAATGCCGAAGTGCCAGCTTACGTACTAAGTACAGGTATAGTTTACAGATTTTTTTTTTTTTTTCTTTTCTTTTCCTTGTGGTGCTTTAAATAAAGGATTTTAGGTATCCTGCACTTTTTCCCCAGGGCAGCTCACATGCAATAGAAGAGAAGAAACGTACCTGCTGGTGTGGCAAACTGGACCAGGACACTGTTACAACCCAAAGTGACGATGAAGGACTGTTTACCGACTCGACTGCATTCTGTGTCTGAGTTGACGGTACACTTAAACACGCAGACATTCTCTGTTGAGTGGAAAAGTAGAGCAAGGAGAACAGGGAAGAAAAAAAAAAAAAAAAAAAAAGAGGAACAATTAATACAAAGCAAAAGACATTCTATTTTTTTCAGCATAAACTTGGTAAACTTTTTTTTTTTTTTTAATACACACAGAGATTCAACCCCTGCCACAATCTAGCTAAGAGTTTTACTGAGGTCCAGGTCTGCATTGGGTAGATTTCCCATGGCATCCTGTCCATGCATCAATATAGCCAGGGAAGAAAGGGGGAAGACCATACATTTTGACAACTGTATGTATCTTTGTTCCAGATAGTGATGAGCATAGATGTGTTCTAACTAGGATCTGAACCCGTGTGAGAGCCCACCAGGAAAGCAGTCACCTGTACTGGGATTTATCTGTGACCAGAGCATTTCCTTTCCTCGCTGTAGCACATATACAAGGGATGTGTCAACATGCACTTGAAATGGGGAATGCCCGACTGGCCCATAAGCGCCATGCCCAAAGCTCACACTTCTCACTTGTCTTGAGTACAGTCAGGAGAAATCTCCCTGACGAGGCAATAAACAGCAACAAGACCTGTGACGGGAGTCACTTTGGGTGGGGGGCCCATGGAACACAGCTCACTTTGGAGGGGTGGGGAGACCCCTGTCTCAGTTCCCCATATCCATTCTATGTGTAAGTCACCCTGTGCCTGTTAGGAGTACAGGGTGGCCTGTCCTGATATTGTGTAGATATGTATAGGTGGGGTGTGGGGTTGTTCATTGTTTACTGCCATGTGGTGCATCCATTGTTCTATTGTGTGTCTTGCTTGGGAGCAAACTATTATGGGATGTATGTGTTTGTGTATTAACTTGGTGGGGGGGGTGTCTGCTGATGTGTCTCTGGTTGCTAGATGTGGTTTGCCCTGCCCTGTGTCCATATGCAGGGAGGTGGGTTGTTCCCTTGAATGTTTATATCTTGTGTCTGTGTTAAAATAAAGCCGTCTATTTCCTGGTTTCTTTCAAGACTGGTGTTGTTTAGTCTCGGATGATCAGCGGTGGTGTCCGTGGTTCTGTGTTCAGAAAAGGAAGCGGGAGTCTAACGGAAATACCCTAGTTCAGTCGGGGTCCGGTTCCGTTACAAGACCTAACAGCCAAAGAGCCATTCACACTATGCAGTGTGTTCTTCTAGTCCACAGATGTCAAACTGGTGGCCCTCCAGCTGTTGCCAAACTACAAGTCCCATGAGGCATTGCAAGATTGACAGCTACAAGCATGACTCCCAAAGGCAGAGGCATGATGGGACTTGTAGTTTCGCAACAGCTGGAGGGCCAACAGTTTGACACCCCTGTTCTAGTCCATCAGTTTAACTTCTAGTGTTATTTAACTATGCAGAACAGTGTGTTGTGTCATGCTGATGTGTATTGTAATGCCTTGTGTATAAAAATGCAGCATGCCCACATTTTTCCTCAACACACTAGTTTGGTGCAAACGAGGTATACAAACAGCCTATGCTTTGCTGTGTCCTCGTGCTGAACCTGCATTGATCGACTCAGATCAACACACCTGGTGTGAGCGAGCCACAACTCTTCCCCAATCTATGGCGGAAACCAGGGTGGATAAAAATCAATGATTTAAAAAAAAAAAAAAAGAAAAAAAAAAAAAATCGGATTTTTTTGATTTAAATCGGATTTTTTGTAAATAAAATGCTTTTTGAGGAAAATATATTACCATCCAAAGGTTATTCCATCATGAAATAAAGATTAGTTTTTTAATTATGTAGAATAAGGCTGTATATGTTTAATTGTTTTGGTAAATAAATTCCATGAATCCATTCACAATGTCATGCTCTTCCAGAGGTTTTTGTAAGATTATTGGGCAGTTTCTCTGCCTACAAGATATTATCACAGATGATCGGTTTACTTTTGCAGTTCTCAAAACTGAATTTGACTCAGCGGAGATCACATGACTCTTCTTCACAGCAAAAATGTTATAACATGAACAGAGTTAAGAAAAAGACCTTCATCCTAACTTCTACAAACCTATGAATACAGAATCAACCCCTTCAGTGCTAAGTTTCAAGAAGTTCAGTGAATAGAATAGAAACAATATTTTTCTGATTGTTTGGAGTGGAATAGATCTGCACAAGAAGAAAGTGAAACTAAGTGTGAGGAGGAGGGGCTGACAGTCTAAGTTTCTTAAAATAAATAGATTTTGTTTAGCCCAGTGGTGGGCAACCTTTTTTTTCAACTGAGCCAAATCTCGCCAAAACCACGATTGAAATTTATTTTGAGAGCCACATTTTTAAAACTGAAAATACATCCCCCCTATAGTAATTCATCCCCCCTATAGTAATTCATCCCCCCTATAGTAATGCATCCCCCTATAGTAATGCATCCCCCCTATAGTAATTCATCCCCCCTATAGTAATTCATCCCCCCTATAGTAATTCATCCCCCCTATAGTAATTCATCCCCCATATAGTAATTCATCCCCCATATAGTAATTCATCCCCCATATAGTAATTCATCCCCCTATAGTAATTCATTCCCCATATTGTGTCAATTCACTTACCTTTGCTCCGCGCGTTCCTCTCGCCGTGTTCCTGCGCCGTTCCGGTCTTCAGGGCGGACTGTGAGAGGAGAGGAGTTCGTCACGCTGCCCCGCCTACATCCTGACAGCCAATGTTTGCCACGCTCCGCGGGCCGGATTAAAAGGTCCGCCGGGCCGTAGTTTGCCCATTGCTGGGCTAGCTGCAGTGTCCTGACTTTTGGGGCGGCCGCCCGAGAGGAGGGAGGGGAGCGGGCGCCCGGCACACAGAAGAGCCACATTAAAATGTGTAAAGAGCCGCATGTGGCTCGCGAGCCGCGGCTTGCCGACCACTGGTTTAGCCAAATCAGTTAACAAACATGGATGTTTAAGCAAATCACATATGCTGGAATGTTATTGTTTCAGTTGAATAAATCTATTTAAATTATTATTAAGGTAATGATTATTTTTCTCCTTCCTAAGTACAACAGAAAAGTTGTCCAAATATGAATGATTAACCTATTAAACTGGGGATAAAAAAAACTAATATGAAAAGTTGTTATTCTAAAAATCATCATCTACTTGCATATTAAAGTTATTCCAGCAAGAATTAGTGTTTATGTAGAAAACTAGGATTTAAATCAAGCCTTACTGACTAGTGATTTAAATCAAGTTTGATTTAAATGAAATCCACCCTGGCGGAAACAAAAAAAAAAAAAAAAAGTTTTGGGCCGAGTTACAATTTCACGGATTTGTTACCAGATATTACACAATAATAAACTGAAAGGAAAGGCTACAAAACACACCTGGTAAATGTTGCCTCCCCATTGCTTAGATTCTGCCTGAAGACATTTTCTACTGAATCACCATCGAAATACTTGTTTTTTTTCCTAAGGGTGTGTTGGGCTGCCTCTCCCAGCACAGTCCCAATACAGACAATACAGGCAATTTGTCGTGTTTATTACAACTAGGTCAACTCTTACCTCTGCACTGCAGTGGAGTCTACAGAAAAAAAGTTTCAGACTGACCTGATCAGAAGCTCCATGCAAGTCTATGAGCAGCAGAACGAGTCTGCCTCGAGTCTCAAAGAGTTCAGAAAAAAAGAGGAAACAAAAACATGTTTTTCGATTTTTTTTTTCCCAGACCTAAATGTGACTGATCAGATCAGGTCTGTTTACATCCCGCCACCCATAGAGCCATCACAGGTCCGCCACATTATCCTATCAAAATGTGAAGAAACTGAATGGGTACAGATATCACAAAAGTGATACCCATCTTGTTCTGCTCGGATTCAGCTGGGGATCGGCTTACAGATCCCATGCTGAACGGAGCAGACACGACTCTTGTGAAAGAACCCTAAGGTGATCGGCACTTTTTTGTTCACTGCAGATCACCATATCGTGAGCCACTGTAAATACTGCAGAACTCCCTTTTTGACATTTTCAACACATTGCCACCACTAATGACACAGCACACTAACAGATGCTTTTTTATTAAAGTTGTTGGTCACTGTGAAAGGACCTTGAGGGCCCGTTCACACCATTGGTGAAGAGCCATCAGTTTTTTCTACAAAAGTTCTCAAAGGCACCAGAAAATCAATTGTTTTCTATGTGCTGTTCACACAACTCTAGTATCAGGTGCAGATTGTTTTTGCGCAGGAATCTTCGACATGTATAAAACTCATTGAATCATGCATGAAAACTGATGTCTCTGCATGTATGGTGTGAACGAGGCCCAAGTGTTTCTATACAGTCATGTGACCGCAAAGCTATTGCTGGTGCATGTGTCCCATGTGGTTGACAACACTGTTAAATCCCATAGAGCAGTGACTTCCCTTGTTGCCATTCATAGCTGCGGGGCCTGGCTGCCCGCCATTCACAGCTGCGGGGCCTGGCTGGCCGCCATTCACAGCTGCGGGGCCTGGCTGGCCGCCATTCACAGCTGCGGGGCCTGGCTGGCCGCCATTCACAGCTGCGGGGCCTGGCTGGCCGCCATTCACAGCTGCGGGGCCTGGCTGGCCGCCATTCACAGCTGCGGGGCCTGGCTGGCCGCCATTCACAGCTGCGGGGCCTGGCTGGCCGCCATTCACAGCTGCGGGGCCTGGCTGGCCGCCATTCACAGCTGCGGGGCCTGGCTGGCCGCCATTCACAGCTGCGGGGCCTGGCTGGCCGCCATTCACAGCTGCGGGGCCTGGCTGGCCGCCATTCACAGCTGCGGGGCCTGGCTGGCCGCCATTCACAGCTGCGGGGCCTGGCTGGCCGCCATTCACAGCTGCGGGGCCTGGCTGGCCGCCATTCACAGCTGCGGGGCCTGGCTGGCCGCCATTCACAGCTGCGGGGCCTGGCTGGCCGCCATTCACAGCTGCGGGGCCTGGCTGGCCGCCATTCACAGCTGCGGGGCCTGGCTGGCCGCCATTCACAGCTGCGGGGCCTGGCTGGCCGCCATTCACAGCTGCGGGGCCTGGCTGGCCGCCATTCACAGCTGCGGGGCCTGGCTGGCCGCCATTCACAGCTGCGGGGCCTGGCTGGCCGCCATTCACAGCTGCGGGGCCTGGCTGGCCGCCATTCACAGCTGCGGGGCCTGGCTGGCCGCCATTCACAGCTGCG